GCCAATGATGCTTTCGGGCCACGTGTCTTCTAGTTTGTCGTTGCGCAGACCCAGGAAGCTAGTGAGTGAGTGAACCCCGGTTCCCGCAACGGCAGCAAAAAGAAGAAAAAACGCCTCCCCAGGGTAAGAGTGTTTGTTGTTTTGCTGTCGCTGTTTGTTCGCTGTCGTTGCGGGGGCTTGTTACCTGCTTGTTTTTGCTGTCGTTGCTGGGGCGCGTTTTTTTGTTGCTGTCGTTGCGGGGGCGTTTTTTTTGTTTCTGTCGTTGCGCTTCCCGGCGCGTTTTTTGTTGCCTCGAAGCGCAACGACAGCACAAAAAACGAGCCCCCGCAACGGCAGCAAAAGAATAAACACATATAAACACTCTTACCGTGCTGCCACATGACCCTACCGTGCTGCAAATCCTCGAGTCTTTTCAAACTGGCTGTTGAGGCTACCATATACACCACACCGCTTGCCGAAGCTTTTGAAGTCGCCCCTGCGGGGTATGCAGCATTCTTGACCGTTTGTAACCTGTGAGAGGGCGACCAGACCAATTAAATCTCGCTCCGCTTTCCCCGACCACGAACCCTCAAGCCCTGGAGAAGAAGAAGCAAGAAAGAGAGAGAAAGAGAGAGAGAGAGAGACTGAAAGAAAAACCGCTCTACTCGGTGCGTGTTCGAGTACCCGCCAGGCAAAGAATGCCGCACAATCCACGTGTGCCGTTTCCGGGGGGGGGTGGGGCCTCGAGCTCCTATGCCTGGACTGGAGTTGCGGATGTAAGCCAAGAGCAGTGACCACAACAAGGCAGGAAGAAATGCAAATGCATCGTCAAGAACTTGCACTCCGAGCTTTCCAGCATTGCTTTGGTTCGCGCAGACCAGGTGGTGCGAGAAGTTGCTGCTTCGCAGCTCTGACTCCCTGCGGCCTGCGCCCGAACCCGAGACAGAACGGGAGTCGGGCGCAATCGAGTGGATCCGATTCTCAAACTCCCTTGCCAGTGGAGGCCGCCGAAGGGAGAAGCAGCGGCAATGAAGGCAGCTGATTTTTCGCGGTGAAGGAAGGTGTTGGCCCTTCTGTTTCGGTTCCGTAGTGCCGGTTCGAGACCTCGTGTGGAGAAACAGTTTCCAGTAGGGGAGCTGCTGTTGGTTGTTTGGGCTTTGTTTGATATTGTCCTGTCTGGTGGCCGAACGCAGTGGCTTTTGGTGCACAGGTGCCAGGGCCTGCGCTGTCTGCAGCGCCTGCCCCGAAGGCGTGGAGATAGCTGTTTGAGCCTTTAGTGAAGCTGAAGGCGGAAGCTAGTGCTGGACTGCAAGGCAATAGCTTGGTTGACAAAATACAGCTAGCACTGCTGAGACCACTCGGGAAGCCGTGATTCTAAGGGCATCGACATGGAAGCTGCCATGCATAGGCAGGTCGGGAACTCCGTGTCGGCACAGCATGCACAGTAGTCCAAGCTAGTGGAAGGGCAGCTGCTTGCATGCGAGATCGACGGCCTGCAGTATCTTTCAGCAAAGAACCTGGTGTCGCAATGCCTTGGGAACTTGCACAAAATGGTTCGCTTCAGGCCCAGGGTTCGTTCGATGGGAGGTGTTCGGAAGGTTGGATACTACCCAAAACTAACGCAAAGTAGAAAGGAGCTTTGCGCAGCCGAGAGCCGCTTCGCTGTATTGCAAGGGGAGATTGGTCATAAGTTGTTGCACTTGCGCTGCCTTGCAGGCAGACAGTGCAAGAGGTGCAGCGCGCGCCAACACTAGCACTTGCAAGCAAGAAGGAGGCCTGCTGCCTCACAGCCTCACAGAACTGCCTGTCATTCGCGATTTGCTGCTCTAATGATCTGCCGATAGCTGTGACCGACTCCTTCGGCTTTTAAGACGTCGGGTGATCGGCTGAATCCATGGCCTGAGGTTCAAGAAGAACCTCCCAAAGTTATGTTGAAGGCGGAGGACCTCCATGTCGGAAAGGTGCGAATAAATTTCATTGCCAGCCTGGAAACTTCACGGATGAGGGAGACACGCTCAAATAGGACAAGGGCTAACCGCTGCATTGCCAAAAACAGTCGTCTGGGATTGCCTGCCCACATGCAACATGGAGTCGAACCTTGACGAACTCAATCTTGTGTTGTTTGAAGCTTTCATCCGTTGTGCATGCGGGAAGCTTTTCGAAGATTTCAGTTCTGAACCCCTTTGAAGCCCGACAGAAGCGGCACTGTGGGCTCGTGCAGGTGCTGGGCTCTGGCGGCTTTGGGGCCGTCTACCGGGGCACCTACCGTGGCCAGGAGGCTGGAGGGCCCGTGCAAGGTCTCAGCTCAGCAGCTGACGTGCTTGCTTTGTGCTCACCCTTCATGAGCCGGGGAATCAGCCGTCGACATCTAACACTGCGGATGCCTTGCTTTGAGAGCATTGGAGCTCACCTTGTCTTCAAGAGCCAAGGGACCATGCTGCTGATGCGGCAGGGTTTCAAGAATGGAGAGATCGATCCTCCAGCTGATCAGGGATTCGTGATGAACCCTTCTCCAAGAGTCGAAGGATCCTTTTTCTGATGCTGCTGATGCTGTGGCTTTGCCTTCAACTCGTCTTGAAGGGGGGAGAGATCCCCTGCCAGCTGATACTCTTTGGGTTTGTGTTGTGTTTTTCCTTCAAAGGCGCAGCCTTTTGGCCCAGAGTCAAGTCACCGCTCTCTAACAGACGAGTAGAGGGCGATCATCTAACCGATGGTGTTTTTTGTTGCTCGTGGCTGCATTATCTTCTAGAGTCCATCGGGCTTTGTGCTCACCTTTTTCAAGTGCCCAGGGATCATCCAGCCCATGCCTGGGCGTTCAGCTTACGCATGCTGACCTGCTTCGTGTGTGCTTGTTCGATGGCGCGGGGTCCTGATGCTTGTGTTTTGCATTCATCTCTCCCAGCGGCGAAAAGTCATTCATGCGCAGCTCTACCGCATCCTCTATTGGAGAATATAATTATATATAATTTGATCATAGTTCCCTTTGTGATATATCGAAATTACAGACACTGTTAGGACATATAGCTGAATCTATCAAAAAGAGTCAGAGTCTAAATAATTAAATAGTGCAATCGGACTTTTTTTTCATATCGGATATCTGTTATAAGTTAAGAAGCATCAAATTTAGAGTTATGATTTTAGATTTCTTCGTTGGAGAAAGGTGAGCACGCAGCACGAGCATCAGCGGCCAGTGGAGTGATTACTGGCTTCTTGGAGAAAAGATGCTTGCACAGCATTCCTTTAAACAGCATCAGCACTAGCACTCTGCACGATTGAAAGCCAACAAGCACGAAGCAAGAGCGTCGGCAGCATCAGCTGGCTGGGGGTGATCTCTCGGCTTGTGGAGAGAGGAAAGCTCAACAGCAGCAGCGGGATGCTCCCTGGTCGCTTCAAGAAGCGGTAAGCCCACTGCACAGGCATGAGATGGCATCAGCTGGATAAACCCTCTTGTAACAGGTGACTACATCACGAGCAACAGCAGCATCATTCGGATGATCCTTCGGCTCTTCAAGCAAGGAAGGAGCACAAAGCGAGAGCATTAGGCAAAAGCTAAATGAGTTTTTGCGCACTTGGTGCAAAGGCGAGCGCTCAGAAGAAAGCACGGTCTCAGCAACATCAGTTACATAGATGATTCCCGTTTTTGTTGAAGCAACGGCGATGCTGATGCTCGTGTTCTTCACGCAGCCTTGTCCTTTTGCTGGGTGGATGGATCATTTCTCTGGTGGTAGTGATGCCGACCCACTCAAAGTTTTTCACGAGTCGAGAGAACTTCCAACTGATGCCTTTGATGGTCGTGCATGGTGTTTGGGTTTTCTCCTAGAGTCCTAGAGCTGAGTCATTACTCAGCCGATGTTTCTGCTGGAAGCTTTGTGTTTAGCTCTCCTTCATCGTGCTTTCGCTCTTTCAAAAGCCAAAAGCCGATGCATCAGCTGAGGCCGATGACGCGCACGCATGCACAGCATCACATGCCCCGTCGAATAAAGGGGGCGAGAAGCACGAGCATTTGCGCGATTCGCCGGAAAATTCCCTCTCGGATGATCCGTCTGCCAGTGGAACAATTGGCGAGCACAAAGCACGATGATCAGCAGCATCAGCTTACCAGCATCAGCTGGATGCTTCCCCTCTTGAAGTTGAGCGATAGCACCATCATCATCAGTTGGATGATCCCTCTGACATTGAGGCAAAGGTGCGCATGAAGCGCGGATGATGTTTCTACCTTCCAAGAAAAGTTACACACAAGGTACGAGAATCCGCAGCGTCAGCTGGATGGCTCCTGGAGAAAAGGAAAGCACGATTTGGCTCTGCTGCTTGTGCTCACCTCTCCTCCAGGGATCATCCGACCAATGATGCTAACGTGTGTGCTTCGCACTCACCTCTTCTTCAAGGGTGAATGGTTTATCCGGCTGATGATGTGAAAGTTCTAGGTGCTCGGCTTTTCTTCTGGAGCCGATGGCTGATTTTGCGGATGCTTGTGCTGTGTGGTCACATGTAAGCTAAATGCGAACGGATCATGCAGCTTACGATGCTGATCCTCGGTTACGCGACCCCCTTTTCGTCACAGGTTGAGGGATTATATACAGCCAAGAATTCCCCCAATGCTCGTTCTTTGTACTCAACATTTCTGTCACGGCCGCAGGACCCACCCAACCAGTACTGCCGTGCTCGCGCTTTGTCGTCTTCTCTCCACTGGCTGATGGATTACCCAACTAATTCTGCTGATGCTTTCGCTCAGTTCAAGGGATCAGGGTGTGTCCAGCTGATGCTGCTTGTGCACCTGCCCTGTGGTGCGCATGTTTTCGATTCTGCTCAGCGTGGTGTTTGCAGCTGGGCTAGATGCCAATTTCGAGGAGGCGAGCCTCACCTTTCTCGAAAGCTAACAGCTAGCAAAATCATGCAGACACGGTGCATTCCGTTTGTCTTACGCAGTGTGTGTGCTGCCTCCTTACGGAGCTTCATCTCATGGTTGCTAGGAGATCCTGAAACCAGAACTGCACAAGCCCTGATGCAAAAAAGAACAGCATGGTTGCTTGCTTGTTTTGTTCAACTTGCCTCAGGTAGCCATCAAGAAGCTGCACCTGATCGATGGTCAGGTCCCTTGGCCACCAGATATCTGATCTCGACGATCTTGGGAAGACCAGAGAATCATGATAAAGGCATTGTGTACCTTGCGACACGACACCCGCCGATTTTTGCTTAGTACTTAGGTTACGTCCTCAATCGACTCGACGTACCCACAGCCTTGATTGCTGGATAAGATTGCAAAAACGTAGATGGACCGCACGGAAAATCTGTGTCACGGGAAGAAAAGCCGAAAGTTGTTGACGCAGTGAAACCAAGTTACCGGGTGCTCCAGGACGAACATACAGACAGCATGGAGCCCCCTTTGCGACATCAGCTGAGACATCTACATTTCTGATCACCTGAGTGTGAAACTTCAAAGTCAGTTGGATGACAGTCCTCTCCCACGTTGACTTGGTTGCTCGGCTGGTTGATGCATGTGGAGCTTCGTTCGCCCATGGCCACTTCGGAGATTCGACATTTGTTGCTTTCTTTTCCCTTGCCCGCACAGCCACGACCCAACCACGGCTGTCTTTGTTCAGGTGACTGAAGAGCAGAAGCGGGAATTCCAGAAGGAGGCAACTTGCAGGAGAACCTGTGTAGTCATTCTACCGCGTGAGTCCTGCCTTACCGAATAAAAACACTCGCGCCAAACCCGGAAGGTTGGGTAGTTTGGCGAATTTCAGGGAATAAGTTTCCAAGATTTGTTGTACGCAGATGATACGCTCATAGTGCCTAAGTGCCAGAAATCCGCAAATGACTAAATGATTATTTACCCTTGATTGAAGAAGAATCAGAATATCTACACTTGAAGCTAAATCATACTACATGCAAGTGCTGTTACATTTCCTATAATTGTGGAGGTGCAGTGCGATTCAAAAGCGGAATAAAACATGAAGAATGCTGATGAAACTACGTACCTAGGAGCCTCCAGCACAAAAACGACCCGAAACATGAGATCAGAAAACGCATATTTGCGACCATGGCCGTCCTTAAGAAACTTGACGTTTTTTGGCTTAAGGCCACTTGCAACAAAATGTAGAAGATGCTAGTCTACAAGGCAGTTATAGTCGCCAAACTCCTTGACGGACTCGAAAGTCTAGAAACCCACTGATGCAACAAGAAGTCTGCTAAACACGTTTCAACTTAAAGGTTTGAGAAAGATTCTCAAATTGCACACGACATTCGTACAACGCCAAAACACAAACGAATATGTGCACCGGAGAGCAAACGAAGTTGTGAATGCACCAACGGAAGAGATGTCGAAAATCAGACAGTTAACTGAACTTCTGGAACAACGCCGCCTGAAATTGTTGGGTCATGTGCTGCGTAGGGATAGACAACATCCGATGCATCAATCAGCATTCAAGACGCAATCTGCCATACCAAGGGAAACCGAGCAACGTAGGGTTGGTCGCCCGAGACAGTTCTGGATAACTACGAACATGGAAAAGGCATGGAACGTCATCAAAGTTTACGACGGAACAACTCCTGACTTGCCTTTCAATAAGCATAAGAGAAACATGAGAGAACACATGATTGATCACGCGCGAAGAGACCTCCCGCCGTTCAACTAGGAAATCACTCGAACGGCTTTTTCGCTCAATGTAAGCCAACTCAGTGTGAAGCATCACTTTTGTAAAGCAGCGTGGACGCATTAAAAATACAACAACCGGATATATGAAAGATGAGATCTCAGTGTGAAGAGGGCTGTGTCACTTTTAAGTGAAGACTACAGAGTGGAAGAACATAATGTTCAATGATCATATAAAACTGACGCGGAGTGAGCTGTAGCATGAATAAGGAAGAAAATCTGGCTGCAAGTTGAGGTGATAAACAGAAAGGAAAAAATATATATATTTATTTATTTATTTATTTATATTTGATTATATTTGTATGTATATATATATATATCGACTTCCAGAGAAGCTTGAGACACATTGCTTCGTCTGAGCAACCCTCCGACCCAAGCTCATACTACCAGTCCAGCAAAGGGGTGCAGAAGCACCAACCCGTCACTTTCTCAGAACCCGTAAAGCCTTCAACCGAGCATGTCGTTTGTCAGAGGTGAAGTCTTAAAGCCTAACCTCAAGCTTCAGGTGACGAACCTTGCTAACTTGCGACATCCACGCCTCGTTAGCCTCATCGGCGCGGAACCCTTGCCACCTGCTCCTGGAGTTCGGATTCATGCTGGGGTTGTCATTATGGGGTGCTGCTGGG